GGGGGGGGTGGGAGGCAGCCAGTCCATGGTTCTCTCTCATCATGGATGTTTCTCTCTCTCTCTCTTCCTTCCTCTCTGAGATCCATAAAAATGTATTTTAAAAAAGAAAAGATGTGTTTTTGCTTGGGCAGGCATCCATAAAGAATTCATTAAACGCTCACACAGAGAGAATCCTATAGAATAAAGAGCTAAGATGCTAATTAGACCGAACGACCTTCCGGATGACCTTCCGGACGAAGCCGGACCCCCGCCAGGGAATGCCGCTGCTCGCCCAGCCTGTGCCCAGATCCGGAGAAGAGAGACAGCGCTCGGGGCGTGGGTGCTCAATGCCGTGTATCGGCGGCTTTTAAGGGCCATACCATTGATCGAAAGGATGGTTTCAAACGGCAGAAAAGACAGGTGCGTAACCAGGAAGGGCCGGCCCTTGAAAACGGGCTCATTGGTAACTGCCCCTTCGTCGTGAGGAGTCACGTGCAGCAGACCCCAGGGACAGAGACGGAAGATTCGAGTCCGAACCTGCTAAGTGAATGGGAACTCATGAATGAATGATCATCTGCACTCGCTTTCTTTTTAAAATTAAAATAAAATATTTTTTTATTGATTTCAGAGAGGAAGGGAGAGGGGGAGTGAGAGAGAAACATCAATGAGGCGAGAGAAGCATCGATCGGCTGCCTCCTGCACGCCCGACTGGGGATGGAGCCTGCAACCCGGGGCCTGTGCCCTAATCGGGAATCGAACCCTGACCCCCTGGTTCCAAGGTCAGAGCTCAACCATTGAGCCACGCTGGCCAACCAGGCGGGATTCACTTCTCATTCCCAAGGCTACAAGTGAGGTTGGCGTGGGTCTCCGTGTTTCGCAGGAGTTCATCTGCGTTCAGTGCCTCCCGCGTTGTGCCCTTGATAACGTTGCCACCGTCTCGTGAAACGCCTCGTCTTTCTCTGCAGCCAGGGAACATTTTTAACTTTTCAAAATGACGCAAACTGTGACCGAGACGGGTCGCTGTGACAGAATCCTGACGGCTTCTAGAAATCTCATCACCGATCCCACCAGACGCGGGACGTGCCTGCGGGCCCTCTACTCGAACCAGTTCTCCTTGAGCAAAAACCCAACGGCGTCCTGGAAGCCGCGGTGGTACAGGGATTCCATTTCCCGCTTGCCCGGCGGGAACAGGGCCTTGTTGAGCCGCACCAAGTTGGCCACGGACACCTAGGACAGAGAGACGGGGTGGGGCTGTGGGGCAGGGCCATGACGGTCGGCCTGCGTTACATCTGTAACCTGATGATTAGCAATCTCCACTAACAAAAGGGAAACATGCAAATTGGTGTCACTCCGTGACGCCCACCAGCCAATCAGAGCAAGTATGCAAATTAACCCAACAAAGATGGTGGTGAATTTGCATACATAGGCGCAGAGTGAAGACCGGAGATGGCGGATGGCGGTTAATTTGCATATGTAGGCACAGTGTGAAGACTGTGTAGATGGAAGCCAAGCGCTGCAGAAGGGAGCAGAGCGGTGGAGAAGGGAGGGAGCGAGGCAGCGGAGAAGGGAGCAAAGCCCGCCTCCCTTCGGCCGCAGGAAGCCCTATTCTTGCAGGAATCTTCCTGCAACGGGCCTCTAGTAATAAAAATAAAATAAAAAATAAAACGAGGAGGGCCCAGCCGGCGTGGCTCCGTGGTTGGGCGTGAACCTAGGAGCCAGGAGGTCACAGTTGGATTCCCGGTCAAGGGCACGTGTCTGGGATGCGGGGTGGATCCCCAGTAGGGGGCGTGCAGGAGGCAGCCGGTTCCTAGTTGTGTCTTCTCATGGATGTTTCTCTCCCTTCCTCCCCGAAATCAATAAAAATATATTTTCAAAAAAAAATAAAATAGGAAACTTGCCACCGAGAACATGCAGTTTGTACAGAAAACGATACGTGAGCTCACCATCTCGGAGCACGGGGAGGATTTTAGGGACGATGTTCCACACTCACCAGGATGTCCTGCTTGGCGATGGTGACGTAGACGCCCAGCTGCCCCTTGTCCTGCGGGGAGATGTCCAGGCGGCCGCAGAAGGGGGAGATGGTCACCGTGCGGCCCGCGGGCAGGATGGGGAGGCTGTTGGTGAACCCTCCGTCCACCCATGTCTGCGGAGGGAAACTCATCGTCACACGTGGGCTGGACCCGGCTGCCAGGTGGACGGCGAGTGTACGGAGACCTCGACGGTCCCTGCCTGGGATCTGCTCCTGAATTACTAGTGACCGGGGCCAGTCCCATAGGGGGTTTACGTTGGGAGAAAAACTAATGTTTGTGCCCATAGCATACCCACCCCTGGTGCATGAGAACTGGCCAGAACCGGGGAATCTGGCCAATGGTTTAGAAGTTAACTCGATTGGCCCTGGCCGGTTGGGCTCAGTGGGTAGAGTGTCGGTCTGCGGACTGAAGGGTCCGGGTTCAATTCCTGGTCAAGGGCACATGCCCGGGTTGCGGGCGCGATCCCCAGTAGGGGGCGTGCAGGAGGCTGCCGGTCCATGATTCTCTCTTGTCATGGATGTTTCTATCTCTCCCCTCTTTCTTCCTGTCTGAGATCTATAAAAATATATTTTTTAAAAAAAAGAAGTTAACTTGACTGTGTTCAGGAGAGTGAGGCTCAGATTGTGCGGATGCCGGTGCAGGCGTCCGAGGCCCTGTGCTTGGGCCAGGATGTGTTCTCGAATCACAGTGGGAAGCCACATTTACTCTGGCATTTCACCATCCACCACTGCACACAATTCTATATAATAAAAGCCTAATATGCAAATCGACCAAATGGCAGATGACCAGCCGCTATGACATGCACTCACCACCAGGCGGCAGACGCTCTGAGTTGCCCCAGCCCGCAGGCCCTAGGCCAGCCAAGGTGGGTGCCAGTGGGGGCCCCCTTCATCGCCAGCCAGGCCTAAGGACCCTACAGGTGCACGAATTTCGTGCACTGGGCCTCTATTATATCATTGGAAAGCAACATTTTTTTTAAATATATTTATTTTAACCTTGCTTTGGGGGGATTTACCCCATTTCATTTTGGTATACCTTTATTTTTTAACACAAATGCATGCTCTTTTTACCCTCTAGTCTGCGAAGTGACTTTTTCTTTTTTTTTTAATAGAAGACAAAATCTTGTTGGCAACCTAAAAGCTCAACAAGCGGCCAAAGTACGTTTCTGATGAAAAAGCTTAAAAATAAAAATTAATCGCGACTGCTTGCCAAGTCATTGTTTTTGCTAAGTCCTGTGTAAAAGAAATATTAACTGTCCTTGTGTAAATAAAAATTTTCTGTAATTATTGATTTTTCAGAAGCTGCCCCTATGAAAATTTTCTTTTCGCCTATTTCCATACAGTGCCCCAAACAAAAATTATTGAAATGTTTAATCTGTGGAATTCCATATGCCCAGTAAAATATTTTTGTATGTAAAAATAAATAAATATTTAATATTGGGGAAAAAAATTTTTTTGTTGATTTCAGAGAGGAAGGGAGAGAGAAACATCCATGACCAAGAGAGAATCATGGACCGGCTGCCTCCTGCACGCCCCCTACTGGGGATCGAGCCCGCAACCCATTCATGTGCCCTTGACCGGGAATCAAACCGTGACCTCCTGGTTCCTAGGTGAAGGCTCAACCACTGAGCAACACCGGCCGGGCTGGAGACCAGAACTTTCTGTCTGGAACTTAAGCAGAACCACGAGGGCCCGGTGGGCTGATTCAGAACCACCAGGAAGCGTAACTATAACATTGGGTTCTTCAAAGGGGACTTATCCCCATGGGATCCCTGATCATGGGTCAGGGATCAGAGCCTACCTGTCCTTTGTACTCCACCGGCTTCAGGCCGGCGTAGAGGGGCAGGAAGCTGCTGGCCAGGAGGACCTGAGGGAGGAAACGGAAAAACGGATCAGGCACGGAGAGGCGCTCACACTCAGACCGGAGACTGGGTATGTGGTTTCCTACAAAATTCTACGTCGTTAAGAAAAAAATTTAAATTGCTGTAAGAAAGAAAACGTTACGTCCATTATAAGTGCACAATGCATGCACTTAAGTACAAGAAAACATAGTCAACTAGAGGCCCGGTGCACGAAATTCGTGCACTCGGGGGGGGGTCCCTCAGCCCGGATGGCGAGAGGGCGCAGGCCAGGCCGAGGGACCCCACCGGTGCACGATCAGAGCTGGGGAGGGACCATGTGAGGGCTCCAGGGCGTGTCCGACCCGTCTCGCTCAGTCCTGATCAGCCGGACCCCAGCAGCAAGCTACCCTACCGGTCAGAGCGTCTGCCCCCTGGTGGTCAGTGCACGTCATAGCGACTGGTGGACCAGTTGACTGCCTGCCCCCTGGTGGTCAGTGCACGTCAGTGAGCAGTTGAACGGCCTTAGCATATCATTAGCATATGACGCTTTGATTGGTTGAACGGACGACAGGACGACCGGACACTTAGCATTTTAGGCTTTTATTCTATAGGATATCAGAAGGGATCCTAGAGAGATATGTCTGGCTCAGCAATGGATGGCCTCTCTCTGAAATTCAATATATATATATATTTTTTTAAATGATTCCACAGAGCTACTAAACCAGAAGTATGGCCCCAAATATCTTGAAATGCAGATTGGGACTGTGAAGAAGACAGACATCAGGTCCCTGCTTAGTACCCTGTCAAAGGCAAGATTAAGCTTCTGGATTTCCAGAGGCCTTCCCTAGATCAAAAACTAATAGAAATTACTACCTCAGCCATAACTAGTTTCACTCAGTGGACAGAGCATCGGCCTGCAGACTGACGCGTCCTGGGTTCGATTCCCGGTCAAGGGCACATGCCCAGGTTGCGGGCTCGATCCCCAGTGGGGGGCGTGCAGGAGGCAGCCGGTCCATGGTTCTCTTTCATCATGGATGTTTCTCTCTCTCTCCCCCTCTCCCTTCTTCTCGCTCTGAAATAAAAAAAATTAAAAAAACATTGTATGCATAGAACGGCTTACCTAAACTGCCAAGTGTCAGCTACGTTCATCTAAGGAGCTGTTGTTGCTACTCAACGGCACAGGAGACCTGCTTCTAGAATAAACTCAAGGGTGTTGGATGCGGCGAGGCTCCCGTGGGACTGACCCGCTCATGGGTCCCACGGCGGACCGAGCCGGACCACCCCAGCCCGGACAGGAAGCCACGGGCGTGAAGGGCACAGGCTGCCCACTTCCTCCCCCAGGAGTGCGTTACCTGGATGAGGTCCTCCCTGGAGGAGAAGCTAGAGACCAGGGAGTTCTTCCCGGTCCGGGCACTGGTGATGGACACGTGCAGGCGGCTGTGCGCCAGCTGGTGGGCGTTGGGCGGCAGGATCGACTCCATTCCGCGTCTGGGGGAGAGAACGTAGCCACGTCACTACCCTCTCATCGTTGTTAGTATTTGTTTTTTAAATATGTATATATTTTAATTTTATTTTTATGATGTTACATGCAATCATCATTAATATTTCTAGAAAAAGGATTTTAAATATAATGCTACATGCAATTAATATTTCAAGAAAAACGATTTTAAGTATAATAATGTTACATGCAATAATCATTAATATTTCAAGAAAAACTACTTTAAGTATGTTACATGCAATAAACATTAATATCTCACACAAAGACTTTAAATATAATATTACCGAAACTGTACTAACATAGTATAACATAACAAAAGTGTATTTCCTACCACTTTTGTGATATTAAATATATTTTTATGGATTTCAGAGAGGAAGGGAGAGGGGGAGAGAGATAGAAACATCCATGATGAGAGAGAATCATGGATCGGCCGCCTCCTGCACGCCCCCTACTGGGGATCGAGCCCGCAACCCGGGCACGTGCCCTGATGGAGAACGAACCCTGACCTCCTGGCTCATAGGTCGGTGCTCAACCACTGAGCCACGCTGTCCAGGTATTATTATTATACTAGAGGCCCGGTGCATGAATTCATACACCAGGGACCAGTGGGGTCCCTCGGCCTGGCCCGCGGGATGGGGCTGAAACCGGCTCTCCGACATCCCCCGAGGGGTCCCGGATTGCGAGAGGGCGCAGGCCAGGCCGAGGGACCCCACTGGTGCATGATTGGGGTCAGGGAGGGATGCGGGAGGTTGGCCAGCTGGGGAGGGACCATGGGAGGGCTCCAGGGCATGTCCGGCCCATCTCGCTCAGTCCCCATCAGCCGGACCCCTGCAGCAAGCTCACCTACTGGTCAGAGCATCTGCTCCCTGGTGGTCAGTGCACGTCATAGCGACTGGTCGACCGGTCGACTGTCTGCCCCCTGGTGGTCAGGGCACGTCATAGCGAGCGGTTGAGCGGCCTTAGCATGTCATTAGCATACGACGCTTTGATTGGTTGAGTGGACGACCGGATGACCAGACACTTAGCATGTTAGGCTTTTATTATATAGGATGTTTTTGTTGTTAATGCTCGCCCAAGGATATTTTTCCCATTGCTATTTAGACTGGAAGGGGAGGGAGAGCGAGAGAAACATCACTGTGAGAGAGACACATTGATTGGTTGCCTCCTGCATGCACCCCGACCCAGACTGGGGATGCAACTTGAAGCAAGAAACGTGCCTTGGACCAGAATCGAACCCGATACCCTTTGGCTGCAGGCCGACACTCCAGGCACAGAACCAGGCCTTTCATTCCCGACCGCCTGATGACTACGCCAGGGCTGACCTTGCCACGGTCGACAACGAGTCCTCACGCCGTGGACCCACTCGGGGACCCACACACACCCGTACCTCAGTCGGGCCATGAAATCGTAGCCGGGCGTCACGGCCCCGAAGGACTGCCTTCGTGTCTCCTCAGCGAACTCGTACGTGAACTGGTTGCATTCCTGAAAAAGGACGTGAACGGGCGGCTCGACATTTCGTCCAAAGGTCCGTCTGATTCCAGCGCTCTGCCCCTCACCCACCATTCCTGGTCCCCCAGCGAGCCACCTGTTGTCCCCAGTCCTGCTGTTTTCTTGCATGGATGTGAGAGAGACACACGGATGGGTTGCCTCCTGCGTGCATCCCATCCGGGGGTGGGGCCTGCAACCCAGGTACATGCCCTTGGCCAGAATCGAACCCAGGACCCTTCCGTCCTCAGGCCGACACGCTGGCCACTGAGCTAAACCGGCCAGGGCAGCAGCGCCAGTTGCCAGCGGCCACACGGATAGCAGAGGGAGGAGTCCTGAGGGCTGTCTTTTGCCAGCGCCGGGTCAGAGTCGTGGGAGGGCGGTCCTGGCCCTGGCGTTTCGTGGGTCCTGGGAACCCGCCTCCGGGTCAGAGTTGTGGGAGGGCGGTCCTGTGGGTTCTGGGAACCCGCCTACGTGAGCTCGTCTTCACAAACCCTTTGAGGTGGGTTATATGCGTAACCTCCTCCTGGTCCCCCAGCGAGCCACCTGTTGTCCCCAATCCTGCTATGTTTTTTTTTAAAAAATACTTCTATTGATTTCAGAGAGGAAGGGAGAGAAATAGAAATACCAACGAAGAGAGAGAACCATGGATCGGCTGCCTCCTGCACGCCCCCCCCTGGGGATCCAGCCCGCAACCCGGGCCTGTGCCCTGACCGGGAATCGAACCCTGACCTCCTGGTTCATAGAAGGACGCTCAACCACTAACATGGATGTGAGAGAGACACACGGATGGGTTGCCTCCTGCGTGCATCCCATCCGGGGGTGGGGCCTGCAACCCAGGTACATGCCCTTGGCCAGAATCGAACCCAGGACCCTTCCGTCCTCAGGCCGACACGCTGGCCACTGAGCTAAACCGGCCAGGGCAGCAGCGCCGGTTGCCAACGGCCACACGGATAGCAGAGGGAGGAGTCCTGAGGGCTGTCTTTTGCCAGCGCCGGGTCAGAGTCGTGGGAGGGCGGTCCTGGCCCTGTCGTTTTGTGGGTCCTGGGAACCCGCCTCCGTGAGCTCGTCTTCACAAACCCTTCGAGGTGGGTTATATGCGTAACCTCCCAGTTGGCAGGTAAGAAAACAGGTTGAAGAGATTAATGATCTTCCCTCATTTGCCGTGAAGAGTGAGGGCCATGGGCAGGGTTGGAACCCTGGCCTGTCTTCCATTCATTCTTTCATTGATTCATTCATTCCTTCATTGATTCATTTGTTCATTTATTCATTCATTCACAGTATGGTAAGAAAACAGGTTGAAGAGATTAAGGGTCTTCCCTCATTTGCCGTGAAGAGTGAGGGCCATGGGCAGGGTTGGAACCCTGGCCTGTCTTCCATTCATTCTTTCATTGATTCATTAATTCTTTCATTCATTGATTCATTCGTTCGTTTGTTCATTCATTCGCAGTACGGTAAGAAAACAGGTTGAAAAGAGTAATGGTCTTCCCTCATTTGCCCTGAACACTGAGGGCCATGGGCAGGGTTCGAACCCAGGCCGATCTCTCCCTCTCTGAAATCAATACAAATATTCTTTTTTAAAAAGAGGGTAGAATAAGGCATTATCTTTTCTGTCTATTATTCTTTCATTCATTCATTCATTCATTCATTGATTTGTTCATTTGTTCGTTCATTCATTCACAGTATGGTAAGAAAACAGGTTGAAGAGATAAAGGATTTTTCCTCATTTGCCATGAACAGTGAGGGTCATGGGCAGGGTTGGAACCGAGGCCTGTCTTCCATTCATTCTTTCATTTATTCACTCATTCATTCTTTCATTCATTCATTTGTTCATTCGTTCATTCATTCATTCACAGTATGGTAAGAAAACAGGTTGAAAAGAGTAATGGTCTTCCCTCATTTGCCGTGAACAGTGAGGGCCATAAGCAGGGTTGGAACCCAGGCCTGTCTTCCATTCATTCATTCTTTCATTCATCATTTGTTCATTCATTCATTCATTCACAATATGGTGAAAAAATAGGTTGAAGAGATTAAGGGTCTTCCCTGATTTGCCGTGAACAGTGAGGGCCATGGGCAGATTGGAATCCAGGCCTGTCTTCCATTCATTCATTCTTTCATTCATCATTTGTTCATTCAGTCATTCATTCACAGTATGGTGAAAAAATAGGTTGAAGAGATTAAGGGTCTTCCCTCATTTGCCGCGAACACTGAGGGCCATGGGCAGAGTTGGAATCCAGGCCTGTCTTCCATTCATTCATTCATTCTTTCGTTCATTCACAGTACGGTGAGAACGCCTGGGAGGGAGACAGAATCAAGCCACCCTCCCCCTCATCATTTTCACATCGGAAAACACATATATAATTACATATTGTTTTTCTGATCAATCACTATGCTTCAGTTATGTTCAATCTGTAACAATGAAAATCCATCCTGCATATCAGATGTTTACGTGACGATTCATAACAGTAGCAAAATGACAGTGATGAAGCCGCCACGAAGATAATGTTATGGTTGGGGGTCACCACAACATGAGGAGCTGTATTCAAGGGTCGCGGCATTAGGAAGGTTGAGAACCACTGGATGAGACAATCGTATGCTTTACGAAGGGACGCCCCGGATATTTCCAGTACCCGCCCAAAATACACCAGGAGGTCAGGGTTCGAATCCCGCTCAGGGCACAGGCCCGGCTTGCGGGCTCGATCCCCAGTGTGGGGCGTGCAGGAGGCGGTTGATCCATGATTCTCTCTCATCATTGACGTGTCTCTCTCTTTCTCTTTCTCTCTCTCTCTCTCCCTCTCTCTTCCTCTCTGAAATCAATACAAATATTCTTTTTTAAAAAGAGGGTAAGATAAGGCATTATCTTTTCTGTCTCCCTGTCACCCAGAATGGTCCCCTCTCCCAAACCCGGAGCCCAGACCCCTGATGATTAAATGCTAAAAGCTTTCCTGTTTCCCAGGCAAAGCATGCAGCCAGCTGAGCGTGAGCGTCCGGCATTGTTACTGGATCTTGATTATTGGCCGAGGAAGGCGGCCGAGGGGCCACCCCATTACCTCTATTTTCTCCGGTGCCGTGAGCAGGACCGAAGCCACCAGGGACCCGGCGGAAGCCCCCGCGAAGGCCTTGACGTCCCTCAGCAGCTTCTGGCCGTGTTTGCAGAAGGCCGAGGCTGCCCCCAGGTGGTAAATGCCCAGGAATCCGCAGGCAGCGAAGGACAGGTTGATGTGCCTCATTCCACCTGCGACGCTGGCCACACACACACACACACCAGAAAAAAGAAAAAGGAAAAAAAATACAGATAAATGCTCTAAGTCGGTATAATGAGCTAATCGTGGCTCTAAGCCTTCCTTTGCGTAGACAATGCTTGGTGTTGAAGCTCCAATTTGCACAATTAAAGGCTCATCGAACACCCAGATCCTTCAAGGATACGTTTTCCCTATTCTATCCCACCTTGACCCCAGAGTTTTATTCATGAAAAAAAATGAGGTTACAACAGCCCATATCAGTTCAGGGGGTTGCATAATATGCGATTTATTCATTAGATCGCGCAGCCTCCTACTCCATTTCTTGGCAGGAGACGGATGTGTCCGTGCCAACTGGCAGGCCGCCTGGTCTTTTTTCTTGACCTTTTTGTAACTTTGCGCAAATCTGGAATCCTCCCAAAGGAACCTGTACAACAGGAGCAGTTAGAGCGCTGTACTGGGGAGACCTCCAATCATTGGACCAGGGCGCATCCCAAAGGATGCACACATTTGCATGTTGCAAATGCATCCGTCAATTGCAAATGCATCCGTCAACTGCAAATGCATCCATCAATTGCAAATGCATCCATCAATTGCAAATGCATCCATTAATTGCAAAAACAGATCCCTGCGCCCTCCCCTCCCATCTCCACTCGGGGCATCCACATTTTCTTAAAACACAGACACACACACTCAAAAAAAAAACAAACAAACAAAAAACCGGATGCCCCCAATTATTCAAGCACGCGGTATTTTTCACCCCGGAGTTTCTTAGGACAATCTGAGGTCATGATTGGCCAGGGCGCTGGGGGCCCCAAGCAATGGACCCGCATCCCCTGATACCTGTGAGGAATCTAACTAAACGGCTCCTTTTGCTCGAGCCTCGGAGGGCAGATGTGCCCCTCCCTCTCCTCCCCAGACCCGTGCCTGAAATCCTGCCCCCCACCTCGCTGCGCACTAGGACCCCCACTTGGGGCTCCGGGGCCATCAGAATAGGCGCGAGGCCCGGGCCCCCCAATTCAGGAACCTACAGCCTTTGTTCTGCAGCATCTGGCTGGGCCCCGTGAGGGAGGCAGCTCGGCCTCTGCAGCCAGCCGCAGCTTTGCTTTAATGACTGCAGATGGGAGGGGGCGAGGGAGGGGGGCTCAGCGGCCAGGCGGCCGCCCCGGACCCCTTCAGTGTGGGGCTGTCCCTCCCCTCCACCCGTTTACTGGAAGGCGGGGCTGAGCCGTCACTCAATGCCGCCTCGCCCTACCCAAGCAGGCTTGAGGCACTTCCGTGTTGAACGCCCCACCTCCCCGCCTTAACCGGAAGGAGGAGCCGGGCCGTCACTCACTGCGGCACCGCCTACCCACGCAGGCCTGTGGCACTTCCGTGCTGTACGCCCCACCTCCCCGCCTTAACCGGAAGGAGGGGCCAGGCCATCACTCAATGCAGCTCCGCCTACCACCCCCGCTCTGCCCTCATCCCGCTCCGCCCTCCACTGCAAGATTGAGGCACCTCCGTGCTGAACGGCCCACATCATGCCTTAACCCGAAGGAGGGGCCGGCCGTCACTCAGTGCGGCTCTGCCTACCCTTGCAGGCCTGCGGCACTT